CTCGCTTGCAGTAACATATACATGCTTGTGCTTTCCCTTAAGCGGTAACGTCAACAATGTGCATCATTTTCGCTTTTCCATGCATTAAACTCCTGCGAACCTACGAGTGAATGTTGGTCAGTGCCGTTGTGTGTGACGAAATTCGACTAACTTGGAACATATTCTTCCAAATTTCTTTTTCAGGCAGCCCATTTCCGAAGCTGATATTGTTGGAATATTGCTAAAAGCGGCGTACAACTCAACTCACTCACTCTTTTCGCCTTACAAGTAACCGTTCATTTGCGCTTTTAGCTTATTTTTTAAAATCTCTCAATATAAATTCCATACAGCTGCCACTTCAGAACCTTCAACAAATAATTTTGGTTACTTAAATTTTCCTCACTCGCTCTCATGGGCCTTAAAGAAACGAGCAGAAGTCTGCTCCAGATAAAGATGCATCTGACAACAATGGAAACGGCTCCATAAAGAGCCCCATTGTTCCTCATTGACTGTAGACAACCGGATGGATTGATATAAGACTTTTATGTCAGCTTCAAATACTTGATAACAAACCGCGTTACGCGTGAAGCCAGTTTTCCTGATTCTGGATACGAAATGTGAAATACGTATTTTCATCGGCATTTAGTTGTAACAAGTATACTGAAGAAATGGCTAGAATTATTTGTGTATTTCCCTCTAACGTATGGTGAAAATGTTCTGATGGCGTCAGTGAGTGTGGTTTTACGCCACTTTTAACAATATTCTAGTAATATCACGGCGGGGGATACCAGAAATGGACTTCACATATTGTACCCATGTGGGGAATCGAACCCGAGTCTTCGGCCTGACGAGCCAACGCTTTAACCACTAGGCGACCCCACCGCCCCTGATGACTTCAGACAATACTATGACGGAATGACGAAGTTTCAATGGAGAGACGTCATACTGTTACGAGTAAGTGATAACGGTTTTACAGCATTTGTAGCATTTTACAATATTTGTAGTAAAAAAGGGTGTATAACTCCTTGTACATGATTCTCAGTTGCATCGCTTCGTACTGGCGGTAGGTTGACTTTGACATGAGAAATTCACGACAGATCGAGTTGCTTGGGGGAATACAAAGCATGCCAGCAACCAGATTTAGGAAACTTCCTTCTGAAGTATGTCCTAGGTTAAAAATGTCTTACACCCACCGACGACATGGTCTCGTCGCCCTTCACCGTCCATCTCGCGTTCTGTGTCACACCCATTTTTATAGCGTATATTATGTATTCAGCATTATATAAACTTCACCAAGGCGTAACCTTTCCATTCAACAGTTGGCATTCTGTGGTCAAAGGCCGGATGTTTCAGCGCCATGTGTACCATCATGTGGGAGGTTCGAGAAGGGCAGAACCAGGAAAGGGTTGACCTGTCTTGCACCAATCTGGTTAAAATCAGGTCTTTTACGATATCATTCTCCATGCCGAACCGATCACATCTTCATAGAAGTCGTCATGTGAACTTTCGAACAAGCAAATCAGCATCTAAATTCCAAGTTGACAGCTAGACAAACATGTATTTTGTTTATCGACAAGTAATATAATCGGAGAGTTTCGCATTTAAAATAAAAATCCTCAATGACACCGCTGATGTGGTTATTGGATGTTTTGGAAATCTTATATCCTGAGCGCAAAGAGCTGCAATACGATCTGCATGGTTGCGTTGTGATCTCTGGTTCGAATCCCCGTTTCCTTATTATGATTTTATGTGTGAAATCACCATAACCGTGAATACTGATCAGAAGGGCGTTAAACCCAACTCAATCACTACCATCGATGGTAATAATTGTGCGGTTTTCTTCTGCTAAGATCTGAATTATTCCATCAAAGTGGTAATCTTTGTGTTGAATCCTTTCAGAAGGCGCGTTGGTTCAAGAAAACAAACACGCTTTGTTTAGATTGGTGTGGTGTGTGTGGGTGGTGCGAATGTGTGCGAGTGTGTGTGTGTGTGTGTGTGTGTGTTTGTTTGTGTGTGGTAATACTTCCCAGTTCGTCAAACGCGACCTTCTACATTTATATGTACATTGGTGTTCCCAGATATTCATTGATATAGTCATTTGAACATACATATACACCCCTCGTGGTTAGTCAACGATAAGAAAGTTAAAATAAGTTATGAAAATGTGATACAATAGCAAACACGCTTATAACAAACTGTATTTTTTGTCCCGGTCATTTGCTGCGTGTGCTACCAAAATGCACATAAAGTAGTATGGATAAAACGAACTACATTTAGTGGCCACCTTGAGTTCGGTATAACCGTAGTTTACTGTGTATATGTAAATGATGAAGACCTGGACACATCTTTTTCATGTCGTAGTTTGTTAATGATCAATGTCAATGTCGGTAAATAGGAAAGACAAGAGTAGATAGAGAAAGACAAGAAAAGATAGAGAATACTAAAATAGCACGTACACACAGACGCACACACACATTTACGTAAACATTGGTTTATTCGTACCCGTGTACCTGACCTATGAAAATTAACCAGTGAAAGCAACTGATGAATCAGTGAAAACATATACAGGTCCGGGCGATGAATTAGTCATTGCAGATATCATAAAATATACTCCTAATGCTATAGTGAGTCTGTTTCATTAAACACAGACATCTAGTCATGGCTGTGCGATGGTGTACTGAACCACTTCTAACTTCTTTCAACGAATTGAAACTATATGTCAAGAAGACAGTTCTGTGTCAAATATCTACGTGCATCACGACTCCGCTAAAAATAATCGTTGTTTTCTTCTGTAATGGATGTGACTAGCAAACTTAACACATACACATGACTCATTCCTATAGTGATCCACTGCCTGCAGTTTAAAGCACGTTTTTCAGCTCTAGGCAATGTACATGGAGTGGCTTTGTTATGTGTTTTAAGCACGTATATAGTTTAACATGTGTTTGAAGGGTTTTGTCGCTTTAATGCACTGATAATGTTGACTGACGAAGACTATGTTTTGCAATATTTCGAAATAAGTTGATGCATTGAATTTAGTATCGTTTTCTTTACAAATCCGATATTAAAACAGAATGAAAGTGACAGTTCAGGAGCCTTCTTCCATGAAAACATTGTAAAGTTCAAACAACCACACTTCTCATGTTTCTCTTCCAAACAGGAATCCCCACATGGGTACAATGTGTGAAGCCCATTTCTGGTGTCCCCCGCCGTGATGTTGCTGGAATATTGCTAAATGCGGCGTAAAACCAAACTCAGTCAGTCAGTCAGTCAGTCTTCCAAACAGGTTGTCGGCATTGTCGTTGAGGTGACTATTAAGACAAAACACACTTTCTGGAATAACAGATAAATAAATAGATTTATTTTATTTGATAATTCATAGATTCAATTTATACAAATGAATTCGAAAGAAGGTTATTTACATACTAATGTCACATACAGACATACACCAATGTGACCTTTTCCTCACGGTTCACGAAGTAGCTACCTAATTGGATATTGTGTTCTGTTTTACCAATCACTTACCGAACTTACTTTACCGAACTTACAATACGTGACGGAATATTGGAAATACCTTGGACCCATATTTAATGACAATGGCTTTTATAAAGGCACTTCTATTCATCAGGAGCCAAGAGTTCAAGTACAGCAACTCGATAGCGGTGGTTTGCTAACCCACCTGAATGACTAGAATAATGATTTACATGCTTGTATGTAATCGATGCTAACTTCTAAGGACCCCCTCCCCGATGTAAACACCCGTTCAAAAGGCTTCGCTTGCCTTGGGCTTGTCTTTTTTATAAACAAAGCTGTATCATGCTTAAAGGATTTTCTGTAAACATGACCAGGGGCCTTTCTCACATAACAATCAACAGTACAATTGTCTTAAAGTATATGAAACAGGTTGGCCTTCCGCCGGGATCACCCAGAAAGGTGTCGAGGTGTCGAGGCGCTAGTTAACCATAAACTCCAAAAACACCTTTCTCCAAAGTTACAAACACCTCTGTTAATATTGTATATCATTTTAAAAGAGTAGTTGTTTTTTTACAGGTACAGCTTGTTGGTATAAGTTAGACACCTGTAATCAATGGATTAAGTAAGATTAGTAATGTCGTCAGTGACATCCTTGTGATTATGTATTTATTGTACAATCATTTTATTACAGCCCTGGTTAACATTTATAAATATTTTATAATCATCTGAATACAATGTCAACATCAAATGGGACTTAAAGTGGCACGAAATATTTAAACTGTGGTCAAAATAGTCTCTAGGGGAATTAGCAGTAAGCAACACGAAGACAATTGTAACTGACAGAGTTGCATGAATTAACTATCCCATATGCCGTGGTTTCCTTTGTCTTATTATTGTCTAAAGATGACACAAGATACATAATGGTAACTCAAACATGATAATAGACATTCTTTTACATACGCATAATTGGTACTTTTGACCTTTTGAATAAATATCTCAATACGATATATGAACTCTGTTTAATACGTTCATATCAAGATGACTTTCATTTTATTTCATGATATATATTGTTTATTAATCTCATCACCGGCACAAATATGATATTTATTTACAAGTGGTGCAGACACAGTTGATCTCCGATGATGTTTTAATACTATACAACTGGTGTATTCTGAGAGTCACGAAACAAAAGTGATCTTGTAAACATTTTGTAAGCATATATTGAGCAATATAATAATTGGCAAAATAGTTTGCAACTTGATGAAGACAGCTTGTTGGCTCTCAGAAATATATCTTCATTGTATTGAAAGAAACTGAGAATTACTTCTACCACTTGTTTAAAGCATCTCGTATTTAAAACCACATGGATTGAATGGATAACTATGTGTAATACGTAAAACACTACGCCTCTAAGGCGCATGTTTGTGTCCTTTTACATCACATATTACACAAAACATTTCGGGTACAGGAGCCAATCTACTACCTTTAGCATGTAGCATACGTTCAACTCATCCACCAATTCTTTGTAAGAACAAAACATGTCAGAATCACAAAACGAGATGTTTAATCTGCATGCTTCAATTATTTTGTCATTTTTGTCACTTTTCAAGACCCTCCTGAATCATGTATAGGATCGTCTTTGCTTACTTGTAACTCGGGTCTGGCGTTATGTTTTTCCTTCTTTTGTTGGCCAGAGTCTGAATGTTTATTTACACTAGACTCCCCTTTTTGTCCTTTAGAGGAATCTGGCACATCCTTTTCATCATTTCCCGTCTGGTGTTGTGGCATGAACGATGCCTGTCTTATCAGTGATCGTAGCTGATGGCCCAGTATCTCCAACTGTGCCGCTTGCTCAGCCCTCCTCTTCATAGCGTCCTCAGAAAGCGCCTCAGACTTCTTTGAACTGTCCCTTCCATTCTGAACTGACCATTCCTTCCTTGAACTTCCACCTGACGATTCGGGATTCTTGTCATCCGAGTTTTCAGATGTCTTGTTTTTGCTTTCTTGCTCCGATGAGCTGTTCTTTGTTTTGCTGTCTTTGTTTTGATCCTTTCCATCCTTGCCTGATGCCTTTGGCTCTGAAGCTTTCTTCAGAGATACAATATCCTGTAGCTCTCTGGTTACTGACTTTGACTGTTGCATTAGATCCCGTATATCTCTTTGCGTCTCCAACCCAAGCCAGTCAGGGAAGATACCAGCAAGGGGGTCTACTCTTGTAATAGCGCCAAGAGGTGGTGTCGTTCCCTCGCTAGAGTCAGCATCTTGTTTCGTCACAGACGCACCCCCCTTTCTTGGAGTTCCAGTATTGCCAACAGAGGCAGCAACAATACCTAAGTTTTGAGATGGACCAACATTCAACAATGGTTGAGTAAACGCAGATAAGCTTGGAACAGGAACAGGCTGACTCTGCAAATGTGCAGGAATCCCTCCACTAGTCATCACAGGTAGTTGAAAATTTGAAGACGCTTCCATGGTATCGATTAGTTGTCCAAACACTTGATCAAATGGAGATGATGTTACTTTCCTTTTGTTTCCATTACCGTTTTCGCCATTATTGCCGTTATTTCCATTAGGGGTTTGACCAATACCCTTACCATTGCTACCAATATGTCCTATTGCTTGACCATTAATACCGCCTTCTGTGCCATTACCAATGTTACTCTGACCATTATCATTTGCAATATTTGTAGTACCTTGCACTATTTTTTTGCCGTTACCATTTGTATCATGTCCATTGTCAGTGCTGCCATTACTCGTATTAGTGCCATTTGAGACACTTGGCACATTGTTTCCCTTTTCTCCTTTAGCGATCATTTTGTCTGTTACATTGTTAGCATTGTTTAGGAAGGGTACTGGTGTTTGTCCATTTTGAACGCCTTTTGAGTTTCCATTGTCAGCATTTAAAGAATGCCCATTGTCAGCATTTAAAGAATGCCCATTGTCACCATTCAAAGAATGCCCATTTTCACCATTTAAAGAATGCCCATTGTCACCATTCAAAGAATGCCCATTGTCACCATTCAAAGAATGCCCATTGTCACCTTTTACAGAATGGCCGTTGTCACCATTGGAAGATCGACCATTGCCACCACTTGAAGAATGTCCATTGTCAACACTGGAAGAATGTCCATTGTCACCATTAGAAAAGCCATTATCACCGTTTGGTGAATGGACACTGGGTTTACTACTATTCATTTGTCCGTTATAGAATGTACTACTGAGACCCATTGGAGCAGTTAGTCTTCCTGCCATTGCTGTTGGTACAAGTTCCGGAAGAGTGGATAAAAATCTGTTACTCCAGTTATTTATCGCATGTTGAAATCCAAGCACACTGCCAAGTGCAGATGGCGATATCTCTGTTGCACGTTGGTGATATGTGCCTGGGGTAGTTGTTACAGGGGATGGCTGTGTTGTCTTACGCTTAACGGCTGCTTTGGTTGTGGAGGTCGGTGGATTAGACGTACTTGCATCTGTTGGTTTAGCAGTAGTAATTATGGTTGATTTTGGAGACGTGGTTGGTTCAGTTTTGGGGCTGACGGTTACTGCAGAAGTAGCGGTTGAAAGTGCAGCTGAAACAAAAGGACCTGAAGAGGTGGTAAAACTAGCAGTTGACCGCGGGACTTCTTGAGTTGTACCATCAGGTTGTTGTGAAGTCACAATACCTAACGTAGAAGTTGATGGTGCTTCATACTCCATTGTTTTCATCTTTGATGCTATCATCTCTGTTGGACCTGCTCTTGAATCTGTTGTTCCTCTTGATTTTATTGCTGTTTTAGGACTGCTGGTCGTTGTCTCAGCTGCAAATGAAACTCTGTGTGTTTTTGTAGTTGCAGGCGTTGGTGTTGCAGTTGTTGGCGTTGCAGTTGCGGCTGTTGTTGTCTTTGGTTTGGTTTGTGTCTCCTGATTTGTAACCACTGTCTTTACATCTGCAGATGTTGATGTTTCAGTCGTATTAGATTGAGGTGTTTGTCCCGATGATATCATAATAGTCGCTGACACTGCTGATGACACTAACGATGTAGTGCTTGTTTCAGTTCCAACACTGGATGAGGACTCCGTTGACATTTGTGAAGTTACAGAGCCGGGTTTTAAACTGGTGGACACATAATTTCTTATTGTTTGAGTTGATTGTGTAGATATCTTAGTGGAGGCAGTTGTTGTTGCTGAATTATCTGTGACAGTAGACTTTGTATCGTTTGTCGTCGGTTCATTTAATGTTATGCCTGACGTGTTTGCAGTTGATACTGAAGGTTCCGGAGACGACGATGGTGAAATAGATGGTGTTGCTGATACTTTCGGAACAGGCGTCGTAATAGTTGTTGAACTATTAGCTTTGTTATAAGATGCTGTTTCGGTGGTGGTAGGGACAGATGATGCATCACTGAACACATTTGTAGAAGATGCTTCAGCAAGGCGGTTTTCAGGAGACACGGTATGTGTTTCTGTAGCTGCAGAGTCTCTTTGAGCTGGTTGTGTGGACGAAATAACACTATGGAACTCCTTGACTGTAGGCCTTTCAGTTGTTGTAGATTCACGTTGCGCACTAATTTGAGTTACCGCCTTGTACGTTGGTTTTATGTGACCCACAAGTGCAGCCCGTGAACCTATTGTGGATTCTTTGTTAGAGACTGACATTGTTATGGCATCTAGAGTAGAACTGTCACGCCGTGACGTGGCTATGTCTTTTGTTGTTGTGGATGATATGGACATCTCTGATGTTGGGGGTTCGGTTGTTGTAGACTTTGCAAGACGTGTGCTTGTGCCAAATCTTGGCGTTGCACTATTGTAGTCCTTTGACGATACAATTCCTATCGTAGCTGTAGCGTCTGCTTCCGTGGATCCCAATGAATGTGGTGTTGTCATGCTTGTTTTTGCATCCATAGAGAATGAAGTAGTTGTGGTTGTCGAAGCCATTTTTATTGTTGTTGAAGTTGTAGTGGCTGTAGTAGTTGTTGGTGTTGTAGGAGTCTGGGTGGATGTTCTCGCACTTGTTGCTTTTGATGTAAAGGAAAACAGAGCAAGATCCAAGAAGTCCAGAGAATCAATGGCATCAATGATTTTTCCATTTCCGTTTCCGTTTCCATTTCCATTGCCATTTCCGTTTCCATTACCGTGGCCATTTCCGTTGCCATTCGATTGTTGGGACGGTACAAGTGTTTCACAAAAACTACCTCCATAACCATCAGGGCAAATGCAGATATAAGTACAGCCTTTAGACTTACATGTCCCTGTATTGCACACATTACTGAAAAGGCTGCAGGCATCACTTAATCCCCGGTCGGAACAACCTCCGTTGGTATCAACTACAGGAGGACTCGGTTCGTTGTCCGGCCATATTGAATCAATTCTTGTTGCAGGTGGTGCCGCGAGGAAAATATCCACTGCACAAATCAATATAACAACCTTTGAATAAAGGCGATAGACCATGTTTGAATGACTTATCCCGCAAATAAATCAAGATCCAGTATAACTATAAACTTCTATCACATCCAGCAGAATCACTCCGAAGACCTTCTCCTGTAAAGCTCAAGGCATTTTTCCGAGTCTTCTCATGCGAACTCCATGTCAGGTTTATTTGATCCTTTGCCTGAAACGTAAAACAGAAATAAAAAAAGGAAGTGATACTTTTTTCATTAACAGTAAGATTTGTGTTGAAAAACTAATGCTCAGTTATCATACAAGACGTTTTCTTCAGCTTTACATATTTCACTGACATGTCTGTCAGACAATGTTAATTACATTATGAATACAATGGGTCCTTGTGGCTTTCAAGCTCCCTCTTTAATGACACTCCTAGGAGTATTTCGAGGTTTCCTGGCTGTTATATGCAACGTATCAATCACACTGCATCATAAATGTCAACTACGGTCATGTGTAAATATGGTAGACGGTATTTTTAGCTGATTGTTACTAAACTTACACCGGGCGGGCGAAAATAGATAAAATGCAGTGATATGTTTATACCCATCCCCTCTTTGTACCTACTGTCAATTATTCGTTAGATTTAGTGACAAAGTTGTCATTTTTCATATTTATCAAGGTGTGGCTTCTTCATGAATAATTCATTTCTTCTTTATCTAAGGATACGTCTGAATTTATGTTAAGACGAGATTTACCTTTATATGAAGGCGACACAGTTAGTGTGAAACACATTTCGCTGCCTAGGATACACACAAAATGATGTAAAGAGAGTTTAGATTATATATGTGAAAAAACTCCATTGTTCAACGTGTCTCTCTATTATGGCGATTCTTCATGATGACAAGTGACATTTGTATTTGTTTAAAGGGTGCAAACCAAGTGCTCACTCATTGAATAATATGAATATATAATAACTGTAAAACATTTGATACCCAATAATTATAAGAAATCAATTTTGTTTGCGTGTTTAGATAATCTATATTTATAAGAAATTTATTTTGTTTATTTGACGCCGCATTCAGGAATTTTTCAGATATATGACGGCTGGCTGTAAATAGTAGAGTCCGTAGCAGACAATCCAGTGACTGACATCATGAGCATCGATTTACATGCATCAATTAAGTCAGCAAGTCTGACCACCCGATCCCCTTATTCGCATTTTACGATAAGCATAGGCTATTAAATCCGAATCTTCACGAGTATTAGCAATCTCTGCTTACGTCAAGGTATACCGTACGATTTCGAATGTATCATAATGATAGTCTAAAGTAGCTTACATTAAAATTATTTAACACAATGTACGGACATAATAACTGAATATATCATAATGATAGACTAAGAGTAGCTTACATTAAATTTATTTAACACAATGCACAGACATAATAACTGATATAATATCTCCGGAATATATATTCTCATATTCGTTAAAGAAACGACCAATCATTATGACAGACTCTGACAATGTCATGTTTTTATATCACATAAGGTTGGTGAAGACTTCCATTATGTCTCACGCCAAAGACCCGGGTTCGATTCCCCACATGGGTACAATGTGTGAAGCTCATTTCTGGTGTCCCCCGCCGTGATATTGCTGGAATATTGTTAAAAGCGGCGTACAACCATATCCACTCATTCTCCATTAGGTCAACGTACTCTTCTATATCAATCCGTAGCCTGGGGCGGTTTGGTAGTTAAGGCGTATGCGCCTCACAGGGACTCCGCGTGAAGACAATTCTTCATGTTTTTTTCCGGTAACATTGATGAAATATTACCAAATGAATGCATGTGGCTATCACATTTAAATTTCCATTCATGTTTGGTTCCCCATATGGTATAATGTGTGAAGTAATAATCTCGCATATAACTGGGAGTTACCCCAAAGCCGCGAAAACCATATCCTCGATTGCCTGAGCCACAACTATCAATTATACAGGTTACTTGTTCACTTTCAACCATGCATGCCCTAATTGCAGGCCGTAGTTCGTACTGGCATGTATATATTAACACACAAATTTTATAGCGTTCAACTTGCGTGGATATGTGTCAAATTAGACAGAGAGTTTGCATGCATGCTCCTAGCATATTTTAGGCATTTTATCACGTTTACTTTTCTTATAACACATATGTTGTAAACAGAGGTGGAGTCTAGGTCAGTTGACAATGAGGCTGAAACACATATGCAAGGTCCCCAGCAAAACATACATAATGATGACAAGAATTATAGCCGCTGCAATCACAGAATTGCGTATAATCACAACAACTATATGTCCACTGCTAATGCAAGATGAGCAGATCATGTATTTTATTTACATATCTTTTACAGAATTGCTTTGAAATTTAATATCAATAATGATTTTAAATGATTAAATAATAAGTTTAAGTTCCAATTCCACAGATCATATCCACCTATAGGAACAGCCATATTGCATTAGTCGTCGATTGCTTTTGAAGAATCACAAAGTTCAAAATGATCCACGACTTAAACCCATAGTCTCTTATAAACACAAGGCACACTAAGAATTGCTAGACTATTTTGAATTACATATTTGCCTAACATTTACGATTTGTAGACAAAAAGAGAAACACAGGCAATCCAATGATAGACCGTTGTTACGAACATGCTTTATCCATTTGCCCTCCAAAGACTGACTGACTAAGTTTGGTTTTACGCCGCTTTTAGCAATATTCCAAATTGCAATTATTTTAAATATTTTATTTGCTTGCCAAACTGATCTATCTTTCTGGTTAAAAAATCCAAAATAATTGCATTATAATGCTACTCAATAAATACATAAGGTTATTACTATTAACACATAAAGCCCGGCTGTAGGTGATGGTTTATAAAGGATCGAGACAAAACGTTCAGTGTTTCATGATAAATGGCAGACCTATTGTATACCGAAGCCTCACTTTATGTAATAATGTTTTATAAGACGTTGACAACTTGCCTTGAGGTTCCTCGCATCTTACGTCATCAATGAACGAGTAGACAATTATGCTATCAATCAATGCAGTGATGGGTCGCTCAAGAGCAAGACAGATAAGTAGATGATTATGGTGTCAAGGCGTTTGCAAGCGTACTTAGTCATACCAAGTACTCATATGTAAAACTTGCTTGTAAACTGTTGCTCTTCGCATCTAACATGTGTGGCAATAATATGCATACGTAACCATACATATGAATGCATTGCCGAACAAATTTATGTCGGTAAAGATAAAAATTAACACCTGTTAATAACACACACCAATAGGATGAGTCGACTAATTGTGCTATGATGTAAGTAGCCCGAGAAAATTTGATCTTTCAGTTTTTCTAAAATACATCTTATAAATTACAGTGCACTGATCATAAAGGTCTGATCAGTCGTTGAAACAAGCGTCATTTTACGTTGTAAATATTGCCTACCTTTTGTATTTATCGTGGAAAAATGTTTGTTTTAGTTTGCTTGATTATAATCACAATTGGCTGATATTTTTAAAACGATACCTCTGATGAAGATTACGATCACGTGTCAGTTTTGTCGAGCTAGTTAAGTAAATAGGTATCGATTTGCAGCTTATTGAGTGATTCATAACTTACTCTCGGGGTTACTGTGTTACAAATGTTCGTTATGTGAATACTGAAAATGGAAACAGTCGTTAATTGCTTTTACTTTTTGTACCAGACTTTCGCCTTGTCATGCTTCATTTAACTTTTACGTTGTAACATGGAGTAATAGTGGTTCATTCTGGTGAGAGGCTCTCAGTGAAAAACTCGTCTATCTGCCCAGAGCTGATGAATTCAAGAATGTTTTCAGTGATGTAAATACAAGTACATCACATCATTTCATCTGTCCATAATTATCAATACGTCCTCAATTGTCATAGTAACATTGAAGTTAACGCAATATTGGGTGGCGTCGTTTGATACCCTCGACACCTATTGACATGTAAAACGTTTCTTCCAAGAACAATTAGAACATTTAAAGACTGTATACTTGAACATTGTACACATGGACTTGCACATATGATGGAAAATGAATGGATTTATGTAAAGTATACTTACATGTAAAATATTATGAAAATGCCATGATGGAATGACATACCTGTAATGACCTGTCCTCCTCATTTAAGTGACACTTGGAGTGTCACAGCAGGCCCACATTTCCTGCATGCGCCTCAAGCAATAGTATCCTGGTACGAAATGCAACCTACGCTCCCTTACAAGATGAACACGCGGAAACAACATGCCCTATTCATAATCCCTAACACGTTTCACTTTCAATACAGAACATAACTAGGATTAACATGTCGTGACAGGTCCTGAAGTTAATTTACATAAATTAAACATAGAGCCTGGAAACTGTAAATACCTTCTTTCTTGAAACCGGTCAGCGGCAGTGCTTGTGCTTGAAGATGAAGAATGTTCCAAGTGATGATGTTATACATACACCATAAACCGAGTTTATCTGTCCACACCCACAAACTGAGTAGTGTTTCTCTGGCGACAGGAACATCAGCGGCTACTGCGGTGTCTATGACCTGACGTCAAGTCATAAATCTAGTCTCGCTCTGTGCTCTAAATTTCACCTGACAGCTAGAATTGTGTTCGCTGCTAACACGAATGACGTCATCGCTTAACAAAATGCTTTCATTGCGTAATAGCGTCGGTTGTGATTTGAGACGTTGTGGTATTTGATGGTGAGTATTTCTGTTTATTTACAAACCCTCAGCTGAAATCACAGCTACTTCTGAGATTAGTTTCGTCTAGATTTGTTTTATTTTTTATTCTTTGCGTCTTTTGATATCTGATAACATATCTAATAAGTGGTTACCAACTTTTATGCGTGTGCGAGTGTCTAAAGGTCTTTTATTACTGATTAGTATTCTCTCCACTACTACTACTACTACTACTACTACTACTACTACTACTACTACTACTACTACTACTACTACTACTACTACTACAACAGCTACTACTACTACAGGACCCACAACTCTACAACTTCTACTCCCGCTACGGCAACACTACGACCTTTTATTACTCATTCTACATCTACTGCTGCTACTTCTACTGCTGCTACTACTACTACTACTACTACTACTGTTGCTACTACTTCTACTACTGTTGCTACTACTACTACCACTACTATTGCTGCTGCTACTACTAGTCCTGCTGCTGCGATTCCTACTCCTGGAAGAACTGAAGGAAAAATCAAGTTCTATGGATAGTCAACTTCTTGACGTTTCGGTGTAAATGCTAACACCGTTATCAAGAAAGTGATAACGGTGTTAGTATCTACACCGAAACGTCGCATTCATTGCAATAAAGAAGTTGACTATCCATAAAACTTGGTTTTTCACCCTCCTACTACTACTACTATCACTACTACTACTACTAATAGTACTGTTGCTACTACTACAACTACTACTGCTGCTGCTACTACTACTAGTGCTGCTGCTGCTGCTAGTCCTACTCCTGCTACTCCTGCTGCTGCTATTAGTTCTCCCAGGAGTGCTACAGAATCGATCCTACACCTAACTTTTCGGAGATTGTGAAGGCTCCCAATCACTGCAGCGATATGCATTTTCCCTGATTTTCATGGACATTTTGACATATTGCAAAGCATTTTGGATACAAGTCTTATCAGAACATGACATCGGTCAAACAGAGGTCCCTTCCTGATGAACTTAAGCTGTCTCCAGCCCTTGAAAACTTTAAGTGTCATCTCAAAACCTTTCTCTACTAAACGTTCTCTATCAATGGACTTCATTAATGCTTTATTCGTTGTATGCGCTGTGAGCATACCTGGTGTGGCGTTAGGCGCTATATAAATGGACACATTATTATTATTATTATTATTAGTGATTTTAGAGCTATCGGTTTGCAAGACGATGTAAATACCACAAGTATGGCAAAATCGGTAATAAAAGGATAGAACCAGGCTATCATGTTGCTTAAACTGTGGTTTTTGTGCCAACCCTGCGCACTCACTTTCTCATTAAGTTCATTACATAGTCAGTGGATAAATTTCGTATTTACACTTTAATAAGAAAGAGCATATTGGCGGTTTGGGGTGGAACGTCGCTGGCCTTGAGCAGCAAAGTGAAAGTCTTCCGTTTCACATTTCAGGCCAGCGGTCTCTTTCAACCACGGGACTCTGTATGGCTGCTGTTCCCCTCAGTACAGTGAACATAAACTCGATGTATTGTTCCTGTTTTTGTTGGTGTTTTCCAGTGATACTGGCACAGTCAGGCTGGACAGGCTCATCATCAGTTGAAGGCCCCTGCCATCTCAACATGCAGCCCAAAACAGCGGATCAAACTTCTCCCAAGTTTAGCCCACCCAGACGTCTTCGGAGATAAAGAAAGTATGTATGTATGTATGTATGTATGTATGTATGTATGTATGTATGTATGTATGTATGTATGTATGTATGTATGTATGTATGTATGTATGTATGTATGTATGTATGTATGTATGTATGTATGTATGTATGTGTGTGTGTATGTGTGTGCGCGTGCGTGCGTGCATGTATGTATGCATGCATGCATGCGTGTGTGTGTGTGTGTGTGTACGTGCTTGCATGTGTATCTATGCAACCTTTTGCCTGAGTGCTTTAGGATGGAACATAGTTAAACTTTAAAAATCAAAATAATCATAATCACTATGCTTGACACATCGCATTTATGCTGACTGTCTCCACCTTCATATGCGCAACAACATTCAGACTAATTAAACTCTAAACCACTGACAGAAAGAAAATAATGTTGTTTCGTGTTAATCGTTCTTACTACCAGACAAACAGTTGGAAAAACCTACCAGGATCAACCCTGTTGCTAGTCCTCCTCTCATAACGTCTAGTCGCTAGCTGACGTCGTAAACCTTTCACAGTTTACTGCAGTATTTCTGCAACTGTGGCGCACGTCGGTATGACAGGTGTTGGCAGCCAGTCTACAAGCCTCCGTTACAGAATGCGCACACTCGGGGGGTCACCGTGTACGTGCCGTCACAATACAGGCAGCCCTTCAGGGCGTGGATGTATTTGGGATGTAGCTTCATGGATGTGTGAATGATATATTAATTGGTTTGTTAATAGTTGGTGCCACTCGCTCACTCATTTACTCTTATCATCCTTGAAAACACGTGGACGACAGGTGGCACATGCCGTCTGTTAAAGCATAGCAATGCAATCCTTATCTCGCATACCCCAAGGGGTTACTGTGTTACAAATGTTCGTTATGTGAATACTGAAAAATGGAAACAGTCGTTTATTGCCTTTACTGTTTGTACCAGACTGTCGCCATGTCATGCTTCATTTAACTTTTACGTTGTAACATGGAGTAATAGTGGTTCATTCTGGTGAGAGGCTCTCAGTGAAAACTCGTCTATCTGCCCAGAGCTGATGAATTCAAGAATGTTTTCTTGATGTAAATAAAAGTATAGATTTGGGGCCTTATTCTGAACATTATTCTGAAATCACATCCCACAAACGACTTCTAAATAAGCTCTTCAGTGCGATTGCAAAACAGTTACCAGCTTGTTTCACTTCAATGTTCCATGTGGTTATTCTACAAACTTTCATTACATGTAGGTCCTCATGACTTACTTAGTCACGGTTGCATGTAAGTGTAGGTCCTCATCACTCACTAAACCAAAGCTGAATGTACATGTGGATTCCTAGGAGTCACTAAAACCGCGGCTGTATGTACATGTAGGTCCCCATGACGCACTTAACCACGGCTGAATGTACATGTAGGTCCCCATGATCCACTAAACCACGGCTGAATGTACATGTGGATCCCTACGAGTCACTAAAGCCACGGCTGAAATGTACATGTAGGTCCTCATGACTCACTATACTACGGTTGTCTGTACATGTGGCTCTTTATGATTCACTAAATCACGGCTGTCTGTAGATGTAGATCCTCATGACGCACTATACTACGGTTGTCTGTACATGTGGCTCCTTATGATTCACTAAATCACGGCTGTCTGTACATGTAGATCCCCATGATTCACTAAAACCCGGTTGTCGGTGCATGTAGTTCCCCATGATTCAGTAAACCGCACTTGTCTGTAGATGTAGATCCTGATGATTCACTAAACCACGCTTGTCTGTACATGTGATCCCCATGAATCACTAAATCACGGCTGTCTGTACTTGTAGATCCTTATGATTCACTAAAACCTGGTTGTCTGTACATGTAGATCCCCATGATTCACTAAACCACGCTTGTCTGTACATGTAGATCCCCATGATTCACTAAACCGCGCTTGTCTGTACATGTAGATCCCCATGATTCACTAAAGCCCGGTTGTCTGTGCATGTAGATCCTCATGATTCACTAAACCGCGGTTGTCTGTACATGTAGATCCTCATGATTCACTAAACCACGCTTGTCTGTACATGTGATCCCATGATTCACTAAACCGCGCTTGTCTGTGCATGTAGATCCCTATGATTCACTAACCCACGCTTGTCTGTACATGTAGATCCCCATGATTCACTAAACCCCGCTTGTCTGTGCATGTAGATCCTCATGATTCACTAAACCCCGGTTGTCTGTACATGTAGATCCCCATGATTCAGTAAGCCACGCTTGTCTGTACATGTAGATCCTGATGATTCACTAAACCGCGCTTGTCTGTACATGTAGATCCCCATGATTCACTAAAGCCCGGTTGTCTGTGCATGTAGATCCCCATGATTCACTAAACCCCGCTTGTCTGTAGATGTAGATCCCCATGATTCACTAAACCCCGGTTGTCTGTGCATGAAGATCCCCATGATCCACTAAACCACGGATGTCTGTGCATGTAGATCTACGAGTCACTAAAGCCACGGCTGAATGTACATGTAGGTCCTCATGACTCACTATACTACGGTTGTCTGTACATGTGGCTCTTTATGATTCACTAAATCACGGCTGTCTGTAGATGTAGATCCTCACGACTCACTATACTACGGTTGTCTGTACATGTGGCTCTTTATGATTCACTAAATCACGGCTGTCTGTACATGTAGATCCCCATGATTCACTAAAACCCGGTTGTCTGTACATGTAGATCCCCATGATTCACTAAACCACGCTTGTCTGTGCATGTAGACCCCCATGATTCACTAAACCGCGCTTGTCTGTGCATGTAGATCCTCATGATTCACTAAACCGCGGTTGTCTGTACATGTAGATCCTCATGATTCACTAAACCACGCTTGTCTGTACATGTGATCCCCATGATTCACTAAACCCCGCTTGTCTGTACATGTAGATCCCTATGATTCACTAAACCACGCTTGTCTGTACATGTAGATCCCCATGATTCACTAAACCACGCTTGTCTGTGCATGTAGATCCTCATGATTCACTAAACCCCGGTTGTCTGTACATGTAGATCCCCATGATTCAGTAAACCACGCTTGTCTGTAGATGTAGATCCTCATGATTCACTAAACCACGCTTGTCTGTACATGTAGATCCTCATGATTCACTAAACCA